AGCTTTTAAGTTTGGAAGAATGCAGGCGGTGGTTCAGCTTTAACACGGAGAGCCCGGCTATAGCTGGACGATCAGTTTGCTGAACAGATCAATCAATAATAATTATCCAGTTTATCGTTCTCAGGCAAGTCAGGGATAGGTTACATCCATCCGCCCTCGACCAGGACCGAGCGCAGCTGTTCTTTTTTCTCATTTTTGAACAAGCATGAGTGTCACCTCGCAATGTTTATTTATACGATTGTATTTCGTCAGCGAAAACACTTATAGAACAAAACTCCTGTCTTCATATATTCTTGGGTTGAATTTACTCATGATATTATACCTTAGAAATTTCTCGGAATATGAATGTCGGAAAAACATCAAAGGTCATCTTTTGCAATGAATTGAATTGACTGCATCAATACAAAGTGACGCAGCCATTCCTTATCAATGGATTGCATAACAAACGAGTAAATACATTACATAACGGTAAAATCAGAAAACTTTTTTCGACATTCAGGGTACTGCTTTCAGCTTGGGGAAGTGGTGAGACTGTTCCGTGAACTGCAATGGTGCGTATTTTCCAGTATGACGGACAACTCAGAGATCGCTTATGCACATTTGTATGTAGAATGAATGGGTCGCATTTAGACAGTGTACGAGTTGCCTACATAACTGTAATGGTGAAGAGCAATCCACTGCCTTGCGCCGTCAGTATTGCTGTACCGATTAACTATGCTTTCACCTTGCTTCACCTTTTGTTTGCTACACCTAGCTGGGACGAAAACTAAGGCGCTCCTGACGAGAACTGGCAATTCGACTTTGACCGAATCTACAAGGTGTTGCAACTTCACCATTTTGCCTTCGAAGCCGCAAGCGGCAAAAGCAAATTCGTTTTTTAGAAGAGAATGTAAATGTTGAAGGGTGAATTTTAGTCATACGTCACTATACGACTACATGTACGTAACTCGAAAATTTTCGCTCATGGAAAACTGTTCTATAAATGAGAATCATCGGAACAAGTTTCTAAATTCACAACATATGAGAATTTTCGTAGTGATGGTTGCCAATACTGATTCGTTTCGAAGGATCCGGGCTAGCAGTTGTGGAAAGCATGCTGTACCCCTGCTCGTTGCGTTCCGAACCATCACCTGTAGTACAATCTCTTATAGAAGTTGTGGGAAGTATAATTAGCAATAAGGTTGCCTTCTCTATCTCTCATTCATGCTCCTCAGGCATGCTATATCCCACATCACCTTCAGAGCTGACAACAGATCTAGACAGGGCAAAAAAGCTCGCACGTGGGCTGCACAGCAGGCACGCACTGTTCAACAAAATCGTTTTTACCTTGCTTCAAGTACTTTTCACAGAGTTTTCCAACCACAGCAGCACCAATGCTGTCTCCGTGGACATTTACAGTAGTACGGATCCTGTCCAGGAAGAAATCGACCGGGAATATCAAGATGAACAAATTTGACGGTAACCCAATCGCAATCAATACCATAATCATTGTCACAATTCCTTAATCAAAACTTTCCTCAATTAATGGTAATTAGAAATTGTGGCTGCTCGGATCAAAAGTTATGTTATTTACGGACCTGCCTGTGGGATACCAGCAGCACCGATGCTGGCTAGTGTTGCGGTTAGGCTGGAAGTAGATGTACATTCAAGTTACCATAAAAGTCGGCTTTACCCTTTTCAAACAAACATTTCCGACTTTCTTCACTTGCGTTTCCCATATTCAGAAGTGGTATTGTATGCTTTTCGTTCTACTTTGTTTTGTTCTTTGATAAATGCCTCTAAAGGTTCACTTTGCTCAGAGGTCATCACTTTGAAGAGGATTCATACCATTTTAAAAATGCATGTCGCAGAAAATTTTTTGATGTTGTTAAGGCTCATGATATGAACTTGAGATATACCAAAGTTGTTTTCACCTGACAAGGATGATTTGGCCCAATGAAAGATCCAGACCAACGCATTGAGAAATATAGATTGCAGCAACCGCTTCATATAGAGCCGTGCCGTCCATATTTCTGGAGAAATCACATGAAACATTTAATGGTCAGAAAATAAAGGAAAAAACTCCGATGATCGCGATTGATTGTGTATGAGATGCGATAAACACTTTGTTTCCGGGCCTTATACCTATCACATCAAGTGCATTCAATATAACTAATCTAATTTAATCAATCATGAGCACTTTTGAGAAAACAATTGCAGTCTGGTACTCTACCGTGTAGCATACGCAACACATTATTTATTCTAACTATTATAGGATCCAACAATCTTCTTCGCTGAGGGTTCTCTCTACCTGAAGGAACACCAGCCGGTTACTGGTGAGGCTACGTGTCATGAACCCAGGTTACTGATAGCGGATAGGGGAGCGAATGGTGCAATAGAATCCAAATTTATTCGCCCGAAGACGAAGCTGGATTCACGGAATGGAATTCCTGTTTCTGCCGTGCTGGGTCGATGTCCATCTTGTATCCTAGCAAGTGTATCAATGCATTGTGGAGAGTCTGCTGGTGCGGTTGGAATACTGCACATCGGCTCATCCAAAAGCCTGTGTTCGAATGTTTGAGCAGTGATCGGGAGGAGATGCGGATCGTCTCTAGTAAATAACCTTCTTGTGTGGTATGGGATAACCTGACTAGCTTGCAAGTGTTTTGGGGAATTATATAATACTGCTACTGATATATGGTCAACCGACGGTTTGTGACGGATTAATCCGTCGCAAACCGTCGCTTACCCATAACTTCAGCTGAAATGCTTCAATGAAGCTGAAAGTAAGACCACTGGAAAGCTCTTCTCGTTAAGAATCCAAATACATAATGATCTTTCGGTTTTCCCGAATTTTTCGCCTTTCTTTCCGGGAAAAATGAAAGTTGAGTCGCTCAGCACCTGGGGTGTTACTTGCGGATATGACCACGTCGTAAACCCTCCACTTCAATTGAAAACTTTGTTTCCGATTCTTAAAAGGCCTGCATCGTGTTATAATTGAGGAGAGCATAGAGTCTTGATCATTTTGATACCCCTCATGACATAGTTTGAATATTTCCAGCTAAAAGCAGCGGTGCAAAGCAAAATTCCAGATTTTTAGACATTTGTTGTTTCTTTGAGCCACGTATTTCGTATGACCACCGTATAATTGCTTGTGGGGAATGCCATGAATTTTCAATTTCTTCAATTTTGCAGCATCATTTTCATGGAGGTCGAAGAGTTAGTGTTCAGCACCTGAGGTGCTCCCGCAGATATAACATAACCTTAAACTCCCCACTTCAACAGAAAACTTCATTCTGAGTTTTTTAAAGGACATTTGGAATATGGACATATGAAATCATGGTTATTTTGATATAGTAATGATAAAATTCAGAAAAATTCAGCTGAAAACAGTGGTTTCAATGATCAACTTCTCAAGAATTTGCCAGTTCATTTCAGAAGTGCACTTCCTCGGGAACGAATTATTCCGCATTTACTTAAAGACTTCCATTATGTGAATCTGATATTCTGATAATGGAAGGATGAATGGCCTCCTAATCGAGCGTTGAGCTAATTGACCCCTTCACCATCGATCTCTATTGGCCCATCGCCTTCGGTGTGTCGGGTCCATCCAAGAGTACGCCCGTTGACACGTACTGGTATGCAGCTGGCAGAATGAAACGACCACGCTATGTTGAACACATTTGCATTATAGCATTTGCAAGCGCTTAGTTCGACTGAGGATGAACCCATATGGAATCCAGGTCAGGTGCAAACATGAGACAAATGCTCTCCCGCTGCGCCATTGGCCGACTCAACATATGAACATTTCAATCAACCATTTAGAAGGGGGGCTGGCTGCGGTAACAGTAGAAGGCCAATCGATTTCTGACAAGTCAGGTCACGTTGCGACATGTGATTCACCAACTAGTCTTATTAAAAACTCACATTGTGCTCAAAACACAAACAGAATTATATTTTATAACAAGATGGACCAATTAAATACTTTTAATTTTATAGACGACCCTGCAGTTTTTAGGGTCATTTTCAAAGAGGGATGATTCTCTCATTCTTATCACTACAACGGTTACAACGCTTCCACTTTATTCAGCTTTGCTACGGAACGTAGACGATCAGGGAACGCGTATCATGTCCAATAAACTTTTCCATTCTACCCTTTACTGACGTTTCTTTACACTATAAATTTTGGCTTACTTACAGCATAGTTTGCCTTGATATTGTCAAATATAACTACAGTGCAAGACGTCTTTGAGTTGATTGCACCCACGTGGCTCAAGAAAACATGGCCTTGCAGACATTGTGAGTCCTAAGGAGATCGATAACGAGGGGACAAGTCACTAGCTTCACTATTAACCATTAGCCAGGCGAACATATATATGTACATACATATATATATATATTTGAATTGTGATAGATGTGTGATAAATAGCTAAATATGAATAAATAGTGAATCATGTCGCAACGTGACCTGACTTGTCAAAAATCGATCGGCCTTCTCCTACTGTTACCGCAGCCAGCCTAAACCCCTACTGAATGGTTGATTGAATGTTCACATATTGAGTCAGCCAATGGCGCAGCGGGAGTGCATTTGTCTCATGCACCTGACCTGGATTCCATATGGGTTCGGATCCTCAGTCGAACAAAGCGCTTGCAAACGCTAAAACAGCAGTGCTGTCAAGCAATGTGTGCCTCTCTGTGCTCATTTGACCTGTGTTTAGTGTCAGTGCTCCATAGTTCCCGTCAAATGGGAAGGGAGTACATGTCAAACAACGTACACACCGTGAAAACACAACACAACATATACAGTACTGGCCATAAAGAAATCACCTTGAACCTTTTTGCTCATAACTCGTCTCAATCTCGATGTTTTTTACTGATTCTTTAGCAGCACCTTCTCCAAATACCTCCGACTTTTCTGCGATGCAAGATACGCAGGAGCTTACTTCCTGCCAACTGGACGGTTTTTTTTCTCAAAAAAAAAATGCAAAATCGGCCTGATTTCATTTGGGTTTTTCTGAGATCTTTTCGGGTATAAAAGTGCTCGAGAGTTCTTTGTTTCAACAGTAACTCGCTTTTAATAAAAGGGGAACTCTAGCACATGCTTTCTGACCGTGGAGTAGCTCTCCGCCATTGCCACGGGCAGTAAGCAGGAATTGACCCTTGTTCAACATCCAAAGCTGTTCGTTGTGTTATTGCCTACGATTACAAAGGATGTCGAAGATTTTGAGTTTCTCACAGGCCCAATCAAACAAGCCAGCTCGGGGAGGCCACGGATTGCCGCTCCTGAGGACTATAGGGAGATCATTTTGTGCGTCGACTCAAGATCACAGAAGAGCACCTTCCGATATAGTGGCCGAAATATCGACGATGGCGAAGTCGCCACCATCTACAGATGCCATCAACGGACGCCTGTGGGACGCTGGATTATATTGAAGAGACTCTCCACGTTCTGGCTTCTATAAACCTCGGCATTGTTGTGAATTGATGTTGTTCTTGCTTGAAACTCCCACGAGGTTGTTATAAAAATTTATTTGCTAACGTTTCGGCGATATCGCCTTCTTCAGAGCCTGAAAGTGGATCAAAACAATTTGCGGATATTAGATCAAAGGTGTCCACAACCCTACAGAAGTTCGAGACCCCCCAGAGCACCACGTAACCCAAAGGAAGAGCACTCACCGTCACTTCGTGGATCCTCGAAATCACCCAGCAACCGATAGTGGGACCAGGTCAGCCGGGCTTGGACTTCATCGGAATCCTTGTGGAAAGGCCAACCTTATATAAGGCCTCAGTTCCCGCGTAATTGTGAATCATTCCTCCCTCCGGTTCATTTTTGGATTGGTGGCCTGTATCCAAAATGCCTCGAAGGATTTGCGGGCGCACAATTGCGGTTCCTGGGCCACGACCTCCACGGTGACCTCAAAGACGCCTCCGTTGTGATTTTGAACGCGGTGGGCTCCTAAGACGATGGACTCCCTCGATCGGTTCATGCCATCTAGGTGTTCCTTGTTTTTTACGTGGAGTGGTCTTGCCGTTTCACCAATATACTCATCCCCGCAGTTTCGGGGAGTGATCTTATAGACCACCCCAGACATAGAGCAATCCCCTTCCCTACCAGCTGGACATACCACACAGTTTGAGGTGGTACATAGGCGGTCATACTGCCGGCTTCGTACCAGGCGTTGCTTCAGATTGAAGCGTGGCACGTTTATAATGGCAACCGAATTTTCCAAACCTGCCCTCTTGAGACATTTTCTGATGGCGGCGCTGACTTCATCAGAGATAAATGGCAGCACGAAGGGAACTTTCTCCTCCATGAAGGTACTACCATGTCTCCGTTCGGCGCCACTGGGAAAAACTTCGTGGGTGGTTGGGGAGATGCAGTAACCATTTAGCTGAGCAATGTCGCGTGCCATTTCCAACGATTCTTTTCGCTCATCCTCTCCAGTACAGACCTTCGCGGTGGTTCGGAACATGTTCCTTACAACGGCTCGTTTTGTCTGGAGAGGATGAGCCGAGCGACAATGGATGATGATGTTTTTATTGCTTGGTTTTCTGCACCNCTGCAACCTTACGTTCAAAATCATAACGGAGGCGTCTTTGAGGTCAATCCAAAAATGAATCGGAGGGAGGAATGCCTCACAATTACACGGGAACTGAGGCCTTATATAAGGTTGGCCTTCCCACAAGGATTCCGATGAAGTCCAAGCCCGGCTGACCTGGTCCCACTATCGGTTGCTGGGTGATTTCGAGGATCCACGAAGTGACGGTGAGTGCTCCACCTTTAGGTTACGTGGTGCTCTGGGGGTCTCGAACTTCTGTAGGGTTGTGGAGACCTTTGATCTAATATCCGCAAATTGTTTTGATCCACTTTCAGGCTCTGAAGAAGGCGATATCGCCGAAACGTTAGCAAATAAATTTTTATAACAACCTCGTGGGAGTTTCAAGCAAGATCAACATCAATATGGAAGATGGCTTGTGGAAGAGTATCTGAATCTCCAAAATTAGACGAGCTCGACTTCAATGGGCGCGTAAGCACTTTCACTGGCCTTTCGACCAATGGCGCGAAGTCATCTAGAGCGACTGGTCAAAGATTGTTTCGCTTGGTACAGATGGGTTTCGTTCGTAGGCGACCTTCAGATGCAATTTTCGACCCCAAGTACCAATTGGCAGCTCTCAGGCATGGTGTTGGTTCAGTATTGCTTTGGGGATATTTTCCGAGTCTAGGCATGGGGTCCCTGCACCATAATCCTACCACGATGGACCATCAGAAGTACGTAGTCATTTTGCAGAAATACATGCTACCTTTCGCCCGTCCTGTACACGGCAGCAAACCTACTTTCCAGCAGTATAACCGCCCCAAGCAGAGATCTAGAAGGGGGTGCGAGTGGCTGACTCATCGGAAAATACGAAGCCTCGACGGACCCGGCCAGTCCCCTGACCTGAACATCATTGAGCCCTCGTAGCGGGAACTCAAGAAAAGGAAAGGTGGTGTTTGGTTGGACAGGTTTGGTCATTTTGAAGAAGAATGGAAGAAAATTGATAAGTGCCTGATCGACAAGTTGGTCGAGTCAATGTCCCGCAGTTGCCAAGCCGTCATCGATGCCAACGATTTCGCTACAAAGCATTAGGTTAGTGGTTGTTTAGGTTCTAATCTCATGATGATAGCGTTTAAGCCAAGTGATTTATTTTGAATTCTTAAAGCTGGTATTATATTGTCCGGTTCAGGAAACATGTGAAAAATGGCCTTATAACCCAAATAAAAAAAGTTTTGTGAGCTCTATGGTTGGAACATTAAGAATCATTACTGTTGTCAACGTACCAAAAAATCACTCAAAAACATCAAGTTTGAGACGAATATGAGAAAAAAGGTTCAAGGTGATTTCTTTTTGACCAGTACTGTACACAGTGAAACAGTAGTCATCATAGCGTGGTCGTTTCATTCTCCCAGCCGCATACCAGCACGTGTCAACGGGCGTACTCTTGGATGGACTCGGCAACGCGATGGGCCAATAGTGATCGATGGTGAGGGGGTCAATTAGCTCAGCGGTCGATTAGGGGGCCATTCATCCTTCTATTATCAGAATATCAGATTCACATCATGGAATCTTTAAGTAAATGCAGAATAATTCGTTCCCGAAGAAGTGCACTTATGAAATGAACTAGCAAATTCGTGAGAAGTTGATCATTGAAACCACTGTTTTCAGCTGAATTTTTCTGAAACATTACTATATCAAAATAACCATGGTTTCATATTTCCATATTCCAAATGTCTTTAAAAGCTCAGAATGAAGTTTACTGTTGAAGTGGGGAGTTTAAGGTTATGTTATATCTGCGGGAAGCACCTCGGGTGCTGAGCACTCACTCTTCGACCTCCATGAAAATGATGCCGGAAAATTGAAAATATTGAAAATTCATGAGAAGACAGGATTCCCACAAGCAATTATACGATGGTCATACGAAATACGTGGCTCAAAGGAACAACAAATGTCTAAAAATCTGGAATTTTGCTTTGCACCGCTACTTTTAGCTGGAAATATTTAAATTATGTCATGAAGGGTATCAAAATGATCAGGACTCTATGCTCTCCTCAATTGTAACACGATGCAGGCCTTTTAAGAATCGGAAACAAAGTTTTCAATTTAAGTGGAGGATTTACGACGTGGTCATATCCGCAAGTAACACCCCAGGTGCTGAGACACTCAACTTTCGTTTTTCTAGAAAAGGAAGGCGAAAAATTCGGGAAAACCGAAAGGTCATTACGTGTTTGGGTTCTTCACGAGAAAAGCTTTCCAATGTTCTTACTTTCAGCTTTATTGAAGCACTTCAGCTGAAGTTGTGGGGAAGCGACGGTTGCGACGGATTAATCCGTCGCAAACCGTCGGTTGACCATGAATTAGTAGCAGTATTGTATGTCAGGAACAGTAATATAAATCATCTTCATTTCCATGATTGATTCGTACGGAACTTTAAAAAACCCGAATCGGACGTTTGCTATTGAAATGTAGCTCAATCCCAGCTCTAACAACCTTCGTTTCCTATGCACTAACATCAATTACCAAGACGAAAAGCATGAAGCCTTCTATGGACCTAGAAAAGCTCATTGCTCTCTATTTCCACACCGGTCGCAGCCTGCAATTACGCACTGATTGCAGCTAACGTAACACTAAGCTTACCTTTATCAATTTCATAGACTGACCAGGATGTTTCGAGTGCGTCACATGAGAATAAATCCGCTCCCGTCAGCTTTTCACAATTTTTTTGGTGTTGGTTGTTTAGTTTGAGTAAATTTGACGTTACGTTGAGCAATGGTCCGAATGAGATTTTATGAAGATGACATTCTGTGATGACAATATTAAATTTGCAACAAATGCTCGTGTATTATTGGTAAAGGTGAAACTCGATACGAGCATGCAAACAAAGAAACATGTTATTATGACATACGCTCCTGAAACTATGCAACCTCTCCACATTTGCAATACTTGGATAAATACAAGAAGAACGTCCCCTTTTGACTAGTTCGCTTGCAGACGAGTAGTCTGGAAGTTGAAGTACTTTGCAGAAAAGTGAGCGTTGCTCATGTTGTGAAAAATTTCCGTTAATTCGTTAATACTTTGATGTTGAGGCACTGTAGCGTTGTACATTTTATGCCCACACGATGTTTCTCTCTTTTTTCTTCTTGTTCCTTTCTTACACTTGAGAATGAAATGGAATTTTCAATTCATAGAGCCTATACCAGTTCGGCTGATCGTTTCAAACTGCTCAAGAATTAAATAGTTGAAGGAGATCGAAGTGGTCTTAAAGGCACGGTTCACGATAAAAATGGTTACTGAGTTCTTTCTTTAGGAATACTCAGTGGCCCCCATGGGTGGTTAAAGGGTCCCTGTCGCTCCCAAAATCTTGACGATCAGGGCAGAGTGGAGCCCTGTTGCTGTCTTGATTAGCTTTCCCGCCTCTCGATCAATGTCACGTCAGACGAGTGTCGAAGCAATACAGATTGCGAATATTCGTTCTAGGACCCACACCCAATCAGCTGATCGCCGAGTGATGAGGCGATGTTTTCCTCCCATTCTTTTTTCCTCTGTTATTCTTTTTACTGCAGCGATCCCTTTTCCAATCTCCTACCCCAAGGGGCTGAAAAAGGTGAGTTGCTTTTGCTGTAACTACGGGTTTTTGTTTACTTATGCTTAAAAGCAGATCGATTTTTGCTCACCGTAGTCTGATATTTGCACCAGGACCCACACGTATACAATGACGCGCTGTGCGTAGCTCGTCCAAACGCCCCACCCTTCTTCATTCTTCTGGTCTCATTCTCGTCCAGCCCCCTTTTTAACGATTTTCGAAGCATTTTTTTNTTTTTTTCACTTCGGAAACACCGATCCACGCAGTTCCTTCGTTTTTCGTCATAATCTGGGTTACCCAAAACTATCGTGAACTGTGCCTTTGATGGACGTGCACCTGAGGAATAATTAAAATGTAAGTTGTGAGAAGAAAAGCCTAACATGAAAAATGAACCAGACACCAATACCAAAACAAGCAGTGAAAAGCTAGCGGTAGGGAACTTATTCACATGAAACTCCATGCAAATCACCATGGTCAATCTATGAAACTGGATAAAAATAAGCGTAGTGTTACGGTAGTTGCAACTAGAACGCAACTACCGTAACACTACGCTGTGGAAATAGATAGCACCGAAAAGCCCTACAGCAAAGATCATATCTACTGCATCGTCGGTGATTTCAAGCTCAAGATCACTAACAGAAAATCGAAGAGGGAGCGGAATGGAATGAGCAGAGCGAAAGATTGTCCGAGTTATTATGTCGATGCACGCCATCCATAGTGACTCGCAGTTCCAGAAGCTCTCTCAATTGCGATGGAACTGGGAGTCGCCTACTGAACAGTACCAGTTTAGTAATGTAACACTGAGTTTATTGTTTTCTTGAACTCTCCGCAAGGTTCGCAAGTATTCCTTATTAGGCTGACGATTCGGCGGAATCGCCTTCTTCAGAGCCTGGAAGCATCATAACAATCTGTTTATCTGATCAAACGTCTCCACCAACCCTCTAATGCTCGAGACCCCCAGGGCACGCAGGTGAACAAAAGGAGAACGACTCACCGCAGCTTTGTGGATTCTTCGAAGGCACCCTGTAAGTAATGGTAACAACCGACCAGGGTTAGCTGGGGTATGTCCTCATTGAAGTCTCTACGGGGAGGCTCATCTTATACGAGGCCGTAGTTTACGCGTGGTTGCGAGACATTGTTCCCTACGATTCATTTAAGGGCTGACGACCTGTATCCAAAATGCCTCGAGGGTTTTGCGCACGCACAATTACAACTCCTGTGCTACGACCTCTACGGTGACCTCAAAAACGGTTATGCTTTTGGATTCTCTTCAGGGGAGTCGACTCTTTTGATCACCTCACACCATCTATGTGCCCCTTAACCCTTATGTGGGCTCTTGCCGTTTCTCCGATAC